TATACGTATACATATACAAGTATACGAATGGGGTACACGTATGCGAGCGGCCAATAGAACGAGTGGCCGAAGTTTGTAGACTGACGGACCAGAAAAAAGAACGCAGCCAAACTCTAACACAGGTTGGATATTCATTTTATATATAATCAAAAGTGCCTTCCTTCTCATACCTGATCTACAATTGATCAACCTCCGCCATACGCCCATCGCGTGTACTGCTTTTGTCGCGATGTATTCAATGTGAGGGCGCCAATTGAGATGTTCATTATACGTGACTCCAAGATATTTCAATGATTGTACTTGTGGGATATCTTGAAGCTCGTAATTAGTAGATATGTGAACAGGATCTTGGACAGGAAAAACGAGAATAGCACATTTACTGGTATTCAGGTTCAACATCAATCCATCCAGCCAATATTCTATTTCATTTAGATATGCTTGGAAGATAGTGTGAAGATCGTGGAAGTCATGTGCCATAACAAAGAAAGCAATGTCATCGGCATAAACATAGGTTTTCACATCTGGCTGAACGGGGATGGTACTAAGCAATATGTTGAATAATACGGGGCAAAGTACCGATCCCTGAGGTACACCTCGCGTTTGCTTCTGCTTACGGGAAGGGAAACCGCCTTGATAACAATGGAATTCTCTTCTTCTTAAAAATTCCATCATTCATGCTACCATATCAGGTGGAAGTCCATCACTGCATAGCTGATTATTCAAGATAGAATACTCTACACTATCGTATGCTTTACATATGTCTAGCGTTACGAAAGCCACAAACTGCTTTTTGTGACGGGCAATATGAATACTATTTTTCAGATTTACATGTGCATGCCATATAGAATATCCAGATGCAAAGCCAATTTGGGAAGAACTGAACAGTTGTTTCTCATTATTAAGCCTAATTATACGACCATGAAGTACCTTTTCAGTACTAAATTAGACGTTAAGGTAATCGGTCGTACGTTGTCTAAACTACAGTCTGCTCCCTGTTTTTGAAGCAATGGTATAATTTTCGCAATCTTCCACTCACAAGGGATCCATGGTCTTCTAAGGGAATAATTGACGAGACCTAAAAGAGCATTCGGATATTCCCTGTGCAGTATTTTTAGCATTGTATTTGTTATTCCATCGGGGCCTGGTGCCGCATTTGGCAATCTTTCCATAGCCTGATTTAATTCGGAAGCCGATATTTCTGTGTAGTAATAGATGGGTGTTGTGTAAGGTAAATTAGGAAGACACGTTGAGAACCTGTTTTCTAATTGTTCAGCCAATTGATTTAATTATTCTTGTAGTTCTTGTGAGGCGTGAACTACTGAGACAACGTTTCCTGGTATAGGGGTCTTTTTCCTACCACGAAGGAAATTGAATAAAGCACGTTTGTTATTCGATTTAGACAGGTAATTGAAATGTTCTTGGTCAAATTGCTCTTTCGCTCGCGATACAGTGCGTTTAAATGTTGCTGCAGTGAACTGATAATCCTTCCTTTTTTCTGGGCTCTGATTACATATAAGTCTTTTCCATGCAGCTTTTCTTTTTTTATAGTCTCGTGTGCACTCATTATTCCATCATCTACTAGGTTGGGCACTCTTGGTTGACGACGAAGAAATTACAAATTTTGTAGTGTTGTTGGAAATTTTCAAAGCAGGACAGACATTTCTGCCGAGATCTTCATTTTGACCACTGGACACTGCCCTAATATTTGAACGCAAGCAGTCTTTAAATTTTTTGTTATTGATCAATGTTTTCTCCGTCCTTTCAATTGATTTCACAGCACATGAGATTTCAATGTGTACAGGAAGATGCTCACTGTTTGAAGAGAAATCAATTGTTTTCCAAGACTTTATTGAAACACTCGAGCTGCAAAACATAAGATCTAACCCCAATCATGTCCGCCCGCGAATAAATGTAGGTTGTTTTTCATTTAGGCAGGCAGGTATTTATTAATCATCCAATCCCACAGAAGAGTTCCAGAAGGGTCTGTTTGAAATCCCCATGAAACATGATGTGTGTTGAAATCACCAGTCAGAAGAAAATCATTCTTGCAATTAGCTAAGGCAGTATCAAATTGTTAAGTATTATGCAAATCCATAGTAAAATAATAGTTTAAAGTTAAAAACGGGCGGTGCCCTGGTAGACTGAGGTCTATTGCCAAAATTTCACAGTCTGAGGACATAAGCTTAAAAGCTATGCTCACTGTGCGGCAAAGTTTATTCGAGACCAGTATAATTAGATCACCTCTTAGTGATAGACGGTCTAGCCGAAATGCTCTAAAATTGTTTAGATTATATTTGTTATCGGGGTTAAGCCAGGTTTCTTGCAATAAGAATATACCCGGATATAATTGAATAATTGAGCAAAGTAAGTCAGTACAAGCCGAACTCAAAGACCTACAATTCCACTGTACTACTTTCACGGTATCAATGCTGACGAGCGAAACACTTCAGCAACGGCAGCTTCTAAAATACTCTCTTTAATAAGAGCACTGGCATTTTTTGCCCTATTTAGGTTTTTAGTTTGGGCAAGGAGATTTTACAGGATATCCAGTGCGCTTCTGACGCCTGAAAGTTTGGCATACGCCCATTTCATTCTCGTCCTCCGCGTGGGTCGACATAGAAGGTACAGACAAAATTGGGGTTTTCTCCTCTCGGAATTGCCGCTGTGGGGCTAAATTCGGCATCTCTTTCACTGCACAAGGTGCCGACTTGGCTATCGGTACAGCTACTGCAAATACCGGCTGTGTCATCTTTAAGCAAAACACTTGAGAGATGCACTCACTTACGCTCGTAACTATGTGTTCCAGTGCTTTCGACATCGCCTTTTCTACTGCAGCTTCAATAAGATTCAGAATATTTGTCTCACTTAATTGTTCGTGCCTCGAAGTGACTACGTCATATCCAAAGGCCCTATCCTTCACAACTGTTATTGCTTCTCGCCGCGAGCAACGACGTCTGTCCATGATTTCTAGCGGTTGCGTTTCATTAGACTTTGCGGTGCAGTTCAGATAATCGGCCGCATGATTTCCTGCACAGAGACAGCACTTTTCGGTTTCGGCGTTGCACTGCTTCGATGGATGGGCATCGCCACAGATGCGGCTAGGTGAATTTGATTTGCAGCCCCCTACACTGTGACCAAAACGCCAACAGTTTTGACATTGGAGAGGACGAGAAGCGAGACGTTCGACTCTGAAAATGAGTGGTCATATTTTCAACTCGGATGGACAGGAAGTGCCGGCAAAGGTAGCAATAACTGACTCAGTGGGGACTTTCTCACCGTTAACTAATCGGTTGCTCCGGTACACAGCTATGACCCCAGCATCAGGCAGCTTTTCACGAGTCTCATCGGGCGTTAATCTTGAGTCGACTCCTCGTACGATTTCCTTAGCGCACGCTAAATGAGGTGGGATAAACGCACTCACCGGGACCGAAGCAAATGTCTTGCACTTTAGGATGTCAGAAACGCGTGAAGGATCTGACGATCAGCATACCAAACCACCTCTTCCGAACTGACGAACATCACTTATCAGCTGGAAGTGTGGCGTCATGGCCTGCAACTCCGCCTAGATCGCCTTTGGGTTGTTGAGCCTAATAAATCCACCACTCGAGGGCACCAGCGCAGCAGGGATGCTGCCAACACCACTGCGGAAAAAAATATTCCAATATCAAGTAATCATTAGGCAAGGAGGCTGACCAATGGCTGTGCCCTTGGCCAGGAGGAAAATGAGACATCAGAACTAATTCGATTGCGTAAACAATTAATATGCAACGTCAGCTAGATTTAACAGGTCAAATTCACCCAAGGCTCAGCCAAACCACCATCCGAAAAAGTCCGTAGTGACTAGCTCCTGCAGGTGGGTTGGTTGGTTGGTTCCTCAACATCTTGGCGCAACGGTCGAGCACCAATCCGCGCGCCCCGCCCGAGTTGTTGTTGTTGTTGTTGTTGTTCTCCTATTGTTAGTGGCGCATACCCACTGTGGGGGATTGGAGCCCGGCAGCCTGTAAAATTAAAGAATTAGCGTACCGTAACCAGTCCGTTCCTTGTCTTTTACACTACATTATTGAAAGCGCGCGCACTGCCAAAGGTTTAGTGCCAGCGAGAAGGGAAAATTCTGTTAGGAAAAATTGGATAATGTAAGACCATAAAAGGCTCTAACATGTGATTACGACTCAGGTGTATTGCACATATATTTATTAAAATATTGCGCAATTTCAAACGGCTGCTTTCTTTTGTAGTATTTCTCGTGTTTGTCCTACCTTAACTCTAGGCTTATGAGTACGTGCCCATATATAGGTAGTAGTGACCGCTCCCATGCCCAGACTGGGTATGCGCCACTATTCAACGAAGTACTACAGAAACCTTTATTACATATTGAAACTCGTCGTACCTCTACATGTGCATACACTAGCTAGCTAGTTATCAGCATCCTTCTTTTCACAAATATCGCACATCACTATCGTGGTGCGGAGCTGTCAGCTGGAATCGCTAAGAACATGCACCTGCCATGTAATACGGCAGCTGGCGTGCTAAATTAAAAAAAGAAATGCTTTTCTCCAGGTTTCGATATCGCTTCGGGTGTACATTTCTTTTTTCGACTTCCTCTGTTACGGCCAGCAGCCGTTTTACGTTATTAGGTAAAATGAAAACTTATTAACCCACTAGAAAAATATAGAATTTTTGAACTAATAACAGCACGTAACTTTATCTAGTTTCGTATTAGGGCGACATTTTCGAGCATCTGATTCAAGCGCACGCTGGCCAACTGACATCAAACTTAGGGGCCTAGCGTGTTGGTTGGTCAAACTGTACGATAAAGATAAAGAGTATGTTGTTAGATGCCGGGCGTCGCGTGACAAATCTCTTCGATGTCTTCACAATCACGGAGAGCAGCAGCATCAGCATCGATGAAGCACCACGAGCACTAAGCTCGAGGGGCGCGTGCCTTGGCCTCGTTCAGATCGCCCTGATTCGTCGTAGCGAATAGACCCTGCTGCATCACCATGGCCGATCTGATCAAGGGTGGTGGCGGAGATGTCGTGGGCCAGCTCGATGACACCAAGACGGACGGGAGCGAGAGCCCGATCGATTTTTGTGAGGCTTTGGCGCTTTCCCACCTGAAGCGTCACCTGCGCAAGACCTACGGCCGCCGCCCAATGGAGCTCGTGAGCTGCTACTTCCAAGCCATTTTCGACTACTCGACTTACACCACGAAGTTGGCGTTCCTGAGGCGCTGCCGCTCCATGAGGGTCGTACCGGAAGAGTACCGCGTTGTATGTCACGAGATCAAGAACACCCGCCGTATCATTCAAATCCTGGAGAAGTGCAGCTACAAGCTCATGCTGGCAGACCTGGACTACAACCAGATGCGGAAGACGCAGGTGTCGCGCCTTTTGGAGCTCCTGCATAAGAAGATCGAGAAGGCCCTCAGTCACGACGATCTCCAGAGCGTGCTGAATCTTTCCAAGATCGAGTACGTGCAGGCCTTCGAATCGGCCCGGGCGAAGCAACGAGCCAAGTTCGATGAACTGCTCAAGGAGTACAAGCTCGACGGGAAGGAAGAAGAAGAAGCCGAGAGCGAGGCCTGACGCCGGGGCGGAGGCTGCTTCGTGCAACCACCGAAGAACGCGAGGACTTTGGTCTGAGCTTTTTTTTTGCCATTTTTTTCGGCTTGCAGAGATTAGAGTTGTCCATTCCGCTAACCCTACTGCCCGAATCCAGCTATGAGAAGGCCTAGCTTGGAGCCCCAACGGTCAGGCGAATGACCTTTCGTCTCCTCAATGGCAGTTGTTAAAAAATCTTGGACACTTTTGTCACTGTAGCCGGTTTCCACCATTTTTTTGTGACTTCTTTTTTTCATTAAAGCTTTGGCTTGCCCTTGTGTGTTTTCATTACTTTGCCATGGGCTGTAAACGATTTTCGCGGTCTTGACCGCTGAGAGACCGTTGGTTACAAGGCAATAGGTTACAAGCGACTTGCGATGCCTTAGACGGTGAGAGACCATTGGAGATAGTTCAATGCAAGGCTTGTACTTACGCGTTTGATAATCACCCATGATATTGGTTCAAGGGCCCGTTTATGACGGCACAGGTTGTTAGGAAATTTAACCCGCGTGTAAGAAGTCTTGACCATGCGTTACTAGCGACTTTCGTAGTCTTAAACGCCGAGAGATCATTCTTTACATAGACACCTATAGGGTCCTTTCAGAAAGAGCTGGAAGTGTTTACCGTTGGCTACAAGAGACGTACGTTGAGTCAGACGATTCGAGATATTGAAAATTGTTTTGGGAGTTAAACCAAAAAACGGAGGTCTTCACAATTTATTAAACGCCAGCAGACTATTGGTTACAAGTGATTTTATGGGGCCCAATTAGCAAACGAAGGCCATAAGTTACTTAAACCCGACCACGAGCTATCAAAAGTGGAACAGCGTATAGCCAGATATCATTACCAATAAGTAACACGCAGGTATCTTTGAATTTTAGTTAATCTGCAGACTTTGCTCCCACGTAAAAGTGGTAATACTGTTTTGACCACAAGAAGCTGGATAGGTAGGACCATCTGGAGGCGCAAAATAGAACTTTTAAAGCAGGAAACGTATTCTATTTCTCCGCTGATGCTCATTCGCGATAGTTATATTGCATCGACCCCTCTGCGTATACCTGAATGCTTTGCACACCAAAACACACCAATATAGCTAGCTGAGACACACCAGTGAACATGGCTTAAGAGTGCATCCTTGGGCACCTCTGCAGTTGTAACAGGTCCCGTTAATTCGGGAGGCGATCACCGGGCTAAGTCCAAGGGCTGAAGTATGGGCCCCCCGAACCGCACCACGAAAGCGTGGACAATTTAGAAGTGGTTTTTTTTGGCGCGCCAGCGGACGCTGGCTGTGACCCAAAGAACAAGTCAGAGCCGAGAGTTGATAAACAAAACAAAATTATATTCTCAATTATAGCAGATCAAAACGATACACAAGTATGCACACTCCACAATAGTTGAGTACAATATGTCACCAAGCAAACAACGTACTACACAGTACAATCAGCCACACTCGAAACAACGGACACAGACAACAATACGCACTACAATGCAGTCGCATGCATTGAACAACCAAGATACTTAAAGACTAAAGAGTTAGAAAACTTATTCAGTCCAAAGTTCTTGAAACAAAAGTCTGAATGATACTCTTCCGAGAATCCCTCACTCAAAGTCCAGCGTTGTTGTCGTCCCGCTGCCCCCGAAGTTTCTCTTCCAGGAAACCTCGCGTTCCACTGCGCCGAAGTTTCTCTTCCAGGAAACCTCGCGTCTTGAATTGGCCACTCTCCAAGCTTCAAACTTCTTCGCCGGAAACACGTCGGCCTCACACACGCAGCTGTTGCCACGCGTCTTCGCTCGATAGCGGTAGACACACGCTCTTGCCTGTAGCTCGAGCCTTCACCACTCAGGTGGAAATCCGCTTCTTTTCCTGCTTTGTCCCTACGGACAAAACCTTCACCGACTACACGGCGGAATAACCTACGCGCTCTGGCGCTAACTTCCGTCTTCTCCTGCTCTCTCATCTCGGCTGCTCGGTTAAATACCTTCCACGCAAGATTCCAGAAAGTTCTCATCATTTAGTCGGCGGGATACACAGCGAAGGCTGGGGAGAGGGCGAGACGGCACGAGGGCCGTCCGCGACGAATGACGCAACCTGGCATCTCCTCGCCCCTTTCCACCTAGAACATTCGAGGCCTTGCTCGGGCGCCGATGCGAGGAGGTTCGTCGGCGAACCCACGCTTCCGAGAGGGGAGGGACGCGCGCCCGAAGAGTCTTTGGATGCTTGTTTTCTTTTTCTTTTTTTTCCGTTGACCTCGCGGCGTCTCTCCCGCTTGTTATCGCGAGAATTTGGCGGCGCGCCCTTTTTGAGCGCTCGTTTTGTGACAGCAGTGCTGCTTGGAACAGCGTGCATTTCGGAATCACTGTTCTGCAAAAGGTCAAACGAAGCAAAAATGACTCGCGACGTCGCAAATCGCGGGGATTTCAAGCTCCAGACTGTCGTGTTCAACCCGAGTCGACATTTCCTACGGTGACAACAGCAATGCAGGTGCCAAGGCATCACTGAATGTGTCCGCATAGCAGATGAAATGTTTGCGGAGCAGCTGAGGCTGACGTCACTCTTTTCTGTGGAGAAGTGGTCAGCTGTGGCGTGATCTGGAAGTGACCACGAGGTAACGCCGCTGCTGGTGCTCCCAGCGCTAAAAATGGCGGGATTTCCGACCGTTTTCAATAGTGCTAGGTACCAGTGATATAAATCAATGAAAATGATAGTTATTCATCCCTCAGTAGCCTTTTAGGTCGCGAAATGCTGCTACAGGGTTTATAGCTACCCGCTGACGCAAAAATCTTGGCATTAGTAAATTTGATATCAGTGCTCCTTTGAAAATAAGAGAAAGGGGGTACTTGCGTGATAGTTGTGGTGTTGCTTTTCCTGTGACAGAAGGAATCTTCATATGCATACAAACATTATTTATGGCATTAATTATAGCAGTGAAGAAAATTACCTTTTTTACTTTTGGTAGTACCTGGTCGAGTCAAATGGGCGAATTCAAGTCCTTCCTACGAAAAGTCCATAGCAGTTTTGAAATTTTGAGAAAGCAGCCACTGGTAATCTCCTTGGAGTGATGCAATCTGACTAATTTAGCTGGGGAAATGAAAGCAAATGCAGCAGACAGCACATCTATCATTCATTTCGACAACGCCCTCAATGACGACACTGTTTCTATTGTCATTATCATATAATTTACACACTTTGCTTCATGCCCGCTTATCGATGCTCGCTTATTCTTCTTCCCCTATACAAGAGAAATAATGTCATTGAGGGCATTCTCGAAGTGAATGGTAGATGCACTGTTTGGTGTTTTGGTTTAGGTATCTCCAGCTAAATTGAGCAGAATGCATCGCTCTGCGGTGATTACCAGTGGCTGCTTTTCCCAAATTTTAAACTAGCTATGGACTATTTGTAGGAAAGGGTTCGATATGCCCATTCAGCCTGACTGGCCATTACCACAAATTAAATATTTATTTGTGTTAATTTCTATAATTACTGCCACAAATAATGGATGTGCCTATCTGAAAATGTCTTCTGTCACAGGAAGGCAACCCCGCATGTAGCATGCAAATACCTCTTTTCTCTAATTAAAAAATATTTAACAAATTTCTTAAAACACCCTGTATATCTCTTGATCTTATCTCTAATGAGTCATTCCATGCCAAATCATCTAGCGTTTTTCTGACCATCACAAATATGGCTGATGAAACTTCCACACGTTTCTCGAAGTACGAAACTCGTCCTAGCCATTTTTTTTCATTGCCAAAAATATTCCTCCCCATTTATGAGAGTCTGTAGTTTAGCGCCAAGTGAGGTAAAGGGCATCAAAGAACAATTTTTTTCAAAAGCCGTCTTTGGAATAGACACGATAAAAGGCATTTCTGGCTAGGTAATGAAATGATCTAACTTTAACATATCGAGTTACTTATGTATATTGATTTTTAGAGGAATTTTCTCACGAACAATATTGACTAAATTTGCCGAATTTGGGATATTTTCCACGAACATGGTAAGTTCGAAGAACACAAACAAAATATGTGCCGGTGGCCTGTCAACATGGTACAAATAAAAAATAATTTAGGCACTGAATTTTTTTCAGCAGATAGTCTGAAAAAAATTGTGAGTATCAGTTTGTTTGGGAAAAGCTCTCTATTCAGCATCAAAAATTGCCTTGTTAAGTAAAGCTCAATGTATCTATTTATAGGCGAAGTTACCAGAGGGTATTATTTTTATATTTAAAAAACATTTTTTTAAATGATGTGTCTGCGCCAGCCTTTCGCCTATGTAACTCAAGTGAAATGACACACTTGCAAGGGCTATATTCAGCAGAATCCTACTGACCTTGAACACAGAGAGCCAAGTTGGTGCTCTCTACAGAGCAATTGAAATTCGAAATGGGTTATCATCTGCATTCCATTGCCAACAGAGGTGTGCTACAAGGACTGGAATCAGTGTTGTGGCTTCCAGGTGAGTTATGCAGCTTTAGAGACATAAAGTCAGAAATCCTACTTTCCTGGGGAGTTCTGCATATGCAGTAGGTGTGTTTTATATGCTTAATAAAAATGTTTAGCCATATGCAGTACATACGCTTTGTAGCATGCTTGTAGGATTGATGCAGTACACTGATAAATGCTATCGTAAAACAAACGTGTCTTATTTTTCCAGATTTCAGAAGAGCACCCTGCTTCCCGAGTCCCAAAACCTGTCATATCAATACAGAAGTGAAAAAAAAACCTTAAATTAAGAACTGGTAGCTAAACCGATAGTCTCGTTTGTGTTGTGCATAAAGGATTATTGTGTACTGTATTTTCCTAATGGCTTGATGGCTCATCTGGGAGTCATCACTAGTGGTTTAGCCAGAAAGGCAGGACAGCTGCTCAACCCCCCCCCCCCCCCCCAGCGCAGTCCAGGTGTTTTTATTTTGTCTTAAAGCCATGGGTGTGTCCTTCAACTGTGACTGGTTTGTGACCACCTAGTTTATGAATGACTCAGCAGAAGG